TTTTTCTGAAAAAAGAATTCAGCACTGTAATAGTGACAATATATCTAAGTAGCACAAGTCTAGGAGATTGGGATTTTGTTGTGAGAGTGGTGAAAAAGATAATGTCTCCATTCCCTAAGGAAAAAGGTCTTTGGGAAATTGTCAAACTCAGACTAGTAGGCTTTCTTTGACTGAGCCTGAAAATAGGTAACTGCTTCCTTCCAAGCATTTCCTATTGTCCTGCCCCTAATTTATGGGTAGCAAACAAGGTAAAAAAAGTGTGGTTATGAGGAGGGCCGTTCATACAGAGCTAGTGACACAGGTAATGCTGGCCATGCCACAGAGGCAGAGGGTTCTGATTTATACTTTAATAGGACATAGCAGGATGTAGACCTGTGACCTGGGGGGTCTGAGATTTCCAGAGCATAATCACAGTTGACAGAGATGACTGTGGAAGCAGAATATTGCAGAAGCCGTGGAATGCTGTCAGATTACTGAGTGGCAGCGGGGGCAAAACAGGTTAAAACTTACAAACACAGGAGTGTTTAAAGGGAAAAAAGACAGATAGCCCATTTTAATAGCAGAAGCATAAGGAGTAAGTAGCAGAGACCAAAACCCCTTTAAACACAAATAAATGTAATTTATTGATAGTGGGGGAAGGTGAGAAAAGTAAATGCATTTTTTGCTTGCTGGTCTCATGGGAGCATGTGGATAGATGCCTGGAACCAACATAAATTTCCCTAGGGAAGAAAAACTACTGGATAAAAAATGAAGATTATTTTGGAGCAAGTGAGCCAAAAATGAGTGCAGTTGATGAGAACACAAGTTCGCAATCAGTTGGAACCGCTGATTCAATTTTTAGTGGCCACATGGAGCAGTCGTTGGGAAGGTTACACTGCAGGTGAAAAGCACAGGTTTGTTTCAGTGTGTCTGATTGGCTTGGGAATAAAATATAAGCAGAGAAACACTGAGTTTTAACACTGGAGAAGATACTTGCAATAATCTTGTACGTGAAGAAACTGAGACCTGGCCAAAGGAGATGGTGATTTGCCCAAAGTCTGAGTTGGATCATGGCAGAGCTGGGAAAAGACAGAACTCGAGAGCGAGGGGTGCCGCTCACATCAGCCTCGCGCTTCCTTGTACATTTGCTCCAAAAGATTTCCTGGGGTAGTGTTAATCATGCCCTTTGTCTCAGTGTATTTGAAGTAAATTAAGAACTGGTATAAAGAAAGGTCCTATTAGGAACAAAGTTGATAAAAGGAAGGACAAAGTAAAATCCAGGGATTTATGTAAGAACTCATTTGGTAATGTGAAGAATTTTGCAGAAGAGGCAGAATATAATTGGGAAGAAAGGGGAGAGTAGGAATAGTTACTATCTTTATTACTGTTATCAAATGATTGTATGGAATTTTATCTGCAAAGCTTCGGCAAGCTTTAATTAAGTGTCAAGTGCAGTTAAAATCTAAATTGCATAACTTGTCTACAGAAATAAAAAGTGTAAAGGTTTTGTGAGAAAATTTATTAGAATCCTTCTATTCTGGAATGTTAGAATTTGCTGTATTTGAAATCAACCCTCTCCCTATACATTAATCAAAAAACAAAAGCCTCGTTAAGTGTACGTCCGGCTCTAGCTGTTCACTCTCCTTCCTTGTGGATGGGGAAATAGGCAACACATAGTAAATATAGACTTACGGATCAAAGGGGACAGGAAAGGAATATTTGGTGGCTTTCTGAGGTTCATCTTTTGCAATGTTTGAAAATAAATAGACCTGTAGTAGAAGTTATAATGGAATCTTTTTCTCCTTTGAGAATTGTATAACTATGATAGAAGGGCACATTTTTGACTCTTTTAACAGGTCCATTGTCAACATATAGCTTTCAGTACTTTTATTCTTCATGATATAAATCCCTACATCAAAATTAAAATACATAGCCAGGTGTGGGGTACACACCTGTAACCCCAGCACTCCAAGAGGATTGCGAGTTTGAGCCCAGCCCCAGCAACTTAGCGACTCAGGGGGTCCCTGGCTCAACAAATGAAAAAGGGCCGGGCTGGTACTGGGTTCAGTGCCAGTACCACTCATCAATAAATAAGGCAGGAGAGGGGCCTAAAACAAATGAAACAGAGCAAAGACGACAACAACAACAAACCCCACATTTGTGTGTCCCACAACTAGGAATAAAACTTAACTGTAGGACTCATTTTAGGAGGCATGTCTTTTTCTTTTAGAGATTTCTTCATCTCTCATACATGAACAAAACTGGTAACTCCTGCTTTGTAAAGACTTGCCTACAGTAGTCTTGCTTCTGAAGGTAGGAATTTGTCTTTCCAAGTGGCACCTGTGTTTTCTGGAGCAGTTCAGCAGTGGAGGAAATGACACTTCCATTCTTGTAATGAGGCACCATTAACCAGAAGCTTTTTGTACGGGTGTAATTTCAAACTTCATTAGAGACCGAGGCAGTGACACCATCATTACTCTGGAAAATGTGCTGGTGTTGTGACTCTCCAAAGGGCCTTGCATTTTTAATGCATCTTGTTGGAATATTTATGAAATGGCACCCCCAGCAGAGGGCGTCTGTCTTTAAAGCTCACAGTCACAAGGATGTTAGTTGCCCAAGTTTCATTGCCCTCAGTTGAGACTTTCAACTAGCAAAATAAGTTAAAGGTACATGCTATAACCTGAAGTTTGTTTTTATTTAGTCTTTATTGCAAGCAAGGTAAAGGAAATATGTATGTGTGCATCTCAGGAGTTTCTGTGTTTTTCTTCATAGTAAAGTCTCGAGTATTGTGGTATTCTGATCATTCCACAGTAAATGAGAATCAACATACAGTAATAGTGCTTCCTTTTAAATGTCTGTGTTCTGGTAAAAGTATGTTTTTGCCTAAGTCAGGCTTTTGCCTCGATAGTTGGTTTGACCTCTTAAACATGTTTAATGACCCTGACTTCCTGATAAAAAAATTCACATTGTGAAATTAATCTGTCCATAACCTGTGCAGCAATTTCATTCAGAATGGAAGCTACAGTCTAAAAGACTCCAGGGTTAAGAGTTAGGCGATCTGGATTTTGCATCTAATCTGAGGTCTAGCAGTCAAGCTGTGGGTTCCTGTGGAAGGAGAGGTCCTGCTGGGCAGTCCGACGCCTTCCCTGTTGCTCTGTCTCCCAAGCTGACCCATCAGCCTGGGAACGTCCAGAATTGCTCCTCCCGGCACGTCTGCTGGGTTCCTGAGCATCGTGTGAGACACTGGGAAGGCTTGCAGGTGTGGGTTCTGGCTGTGCAGATCTGTATTTATTCTCATGCACTCACACCCATGTGAGGGGGTCACACGCACCCGTTTGGCTTTTCCAAATGGGAGTGTTCCAGAAAATGATGAAAGATGACGGCCGCAGGTAGTATATCTTCTCACGGTTCTTCAAATATTTCCAATGTTAAGGTCCATAGCAGCATTTGTTCAGTTTTAATTTACTTCATAGGTGCCATGAAAAGAGGAAACTATATTCTTAAATCTGTGAAAAATACCATGACTGTTTTCTGTTAATCTTCAAATAATAGCCTATTAGAAAAGAAAACGGTAGTGAGAAAATAGATACTCTTCAAAAGCTTGGCGTGTGTTTCAGATAATTTTTTATTTAACACAATTCCCCCTTTAACCTGCAGATTTACGTAGTTTCTTCCTCATAAGGTGCTGTTCTTTTCAACCTGAATTTGCTTTACATTATCTCTTCAAATTCTGTGCGAAATGAGTGTTAGTCATCATGGACTGTTTCGCACTTACAAGCAAATCGCCCCGTGGTCAGAGCTGGCACAGAGGAGGGGAGAGACGTCTGTTCGTAGAGAAGGGCGGCGATGGGGTCCCTGCAGTGGCAGTGCCCGGATGGGATCCTGACAGTTCGGAGCCGCTCTCCGCGGGGGAGGAGCCAGCTTCCTGCTGAGCTTACATAAATTCAAAGTTAATTATTCACTTAACAGGTGTTTGGTTTTTGCAAGGAATAGTCACAGATTTATGGCAGCACTGCAGTACATTGGAGGCAGTATTTACACATTAATGTGGTGCTTACTTCAATTAAATTCTTGCTTATCCACCTGCCCCCCCCTCCATAGCTCACCTCATTAGCAGGACTTGATACATCAGAAGTCCAGAGCTCCTGCAGGCTCTGGTCCATACAGTGCCTTAGAATTCAGAATTGGTTGCCACTACCTGAAAATTGGTAAAGTTTATTACAGAAGTCCAGATTTGTGAATTAGCATTTTTAAAAAACGAGATTATTTGCTAACGCTCTCCTTGGTCTCCCGTGGCAAGTGCCTGTGCCCCCAGTGCCACCTTCCCGTTTTACTTCCCTCATTTACATTCCCTTCCTGGGGACACGTCGGGTGTCGCCCCTATTCCCTCTGAGAGGTGCGAGCAGCCGCAGTCAGAATGGTGCAGGCTTCCTCAGCCGCCGCGCCCTGCTGCGGTAGCCGTGTGCCGCTGGAGTTAACTTTCGCAGTTTTAGTTCTGTCTTACAAAATGGCACCTCTCGTCCACGATAACTTTGATAATTACTACAATTTTTAAAGAGAATTCCAAAGTAAAATTACTCATTGCTGTTTTCACTAGTGCATTTAAAAATGTCTGCTTCATACTTAAAGTTGGCACTGTAGCAATACATCACTGTTTCTATTGTGAAAACTTAAATATATTTTAAATGAATTTGACCTTTTTCTTAGGAAAGTTTAAGATCACTGCTATCATTAAAACTTAAATCTGTTTTAAATGAATTTTCACTTGACGCTTTTTCTTGCAGAAGTTTAAGGAAAACGTAAAAGTTGTTCATGAGTAATATTTTTGTATATTTAATGTGACTATGACAATTTATGTTTGTGTGTGTGCAAACAAACCTAGTTAACACTTTCGGGGCTTTCACTGGTTGTAATGTAATTGCTTCTGCTTAAATTCCTTTAAAAAACAACCTTAGGATAAACCAAGGAAAAAAGGCATTGGGCGTGGATGTTAACTTTAGACGAATGATTTTGCTTTGCAGAATACGGCTGGAGAACGATATGGTTGATTCAGCGCCTCAGTGGGAAGCTGTCTTACGGAGACAAAAGGAGAAAAACCAATCAGACCCCAACAACAGGCGATCCAGACACCGGTCTCGCTCGTATGTGGGCTGTTTATACCTTGATTCAAACACACTGAACGTGAAGTAGTATGCGGGTGCTCGGGTCTTCTGATGTGGTCTTAGTTCAACCATGATTATCCCATTGTTTGTCATTTTCATCTTCGTATATTATAACACGTGTTAATTATGTTTGAAGCCGTACAAGTTGGAGCACATCCAGAACAAAATGTCATGGAAACAGGCTATCAAAACCATCATTTTGTTTGGTTTGTGTTATTTTTAAACAAATGCATACATCCACCTGGATAAACAGGAATAGTCTCCAACTGGCTAAATAGGAGTAGTCTCCTTTGTTGGTGAAATACCTGCTGCTTCTCTCAATTTGAGTCTGCAGAATTCTCTACAGTCTTGTTCCAGATTGAACCAGATGTGAATGTCTTCCCATCACATTACCATTTGTGATCAGTAATCAGTGATTCATTGCACCCTAATGTTGGGACTTGCACGCTCCTCCTGTTGCCAAGCAATGCCCTGTGTGAGCACAGTTACCCCGTAACAGTGAGACTGCCAGGCCCCCAAATTAATTTTCCTTGGTAAAGTTTCTCTCTCTGTGTGTATGTATGTATGTGTGCTTCGAGACTTAGGCCCTCCACCCTTACTCTATTTCCCAAGCACTCTTTTCAGGTGAATTGGGACTATCTGCACACAGGCCCCTCTGAGCTCCCGAGGGGTTAGATGGATGGCATTGCTTACTTATGGGAGAAGGGGTCAGTGCCTAGGGTCCGTCAGAGGAAGGTTGTTGGGCAGTTGATGCAGAAACAGCCTGGCTTAGGTGTATGGGGAGTCCTGAGGGAGGCAGGCGAGAGGGTGCCAGGTCAGGTTAACAGAGGCGAGGGAAGGTCTGCCTTAGATGCTTCCCTTTGGATCAGAACCTAACCCGGCGTGCTTTTGTTTTTATCTGGAATACAGCATTAAAGAGCAATGACTTTCTGTTGCGACAGAAAGCCTGGTACCGGTCACTGAGCAGTACACTCTCGTGCAGAGGTCTTCACTGCCGCGTGTACTTCGTGGGAGAGTCTAATGAAACTGTTGTTTAGTTGAAAGCAGGAGTCACCTTTTATGCTGTTGTAATTTGTAGGGTTCTTTGTGTAGTCTAGATGTCAGTCCTTTCTGGCATATGCGTTATGAATACTGTTTGCCAGGCTGTGGCCGGCTCTTCCGTGTTATTAACATTGTGTTCGGGGGACCAAATATTTTACATTTTGATAAAAACCAGTGCCTCAGGGGTTTTGTTGCTGTTGTCTTACTTTTTTGTAGTTAAGTCGTTTTTCCTTGTTCATCCTAAGCAAGATTTGCCTACTCCAAGGTCACAAAGATACTTCCATGTCTTTCTCTAGAAGCTTTAAAGGTTTTATTCTTACTCAGGGCTGAGGCCCATCGCGAAGTAATTGCTGTGCAGTATGAAGCAGATCCTGAGAGCCTTTCTGTGTGCGGATCCAGCTACTTCAGGGCTGTTTGTTAAAAACACTGTCTTCACTGAAGAGCCTGAGAGCTTTCCTGAAACCAGTTGGCTCCTGACCATATATGTGGGCCAACTCTGTCTCACTGATGTATTTGTCTATCTCTAGTCCACCATGTTGTCTTAGTTACTGCAGCTTTGTAGTGAAGCTGGAATCAGTCACTGTAGGTTCTCTACTCTTTTTTTTTTTTTTTTTTTTTTTTTTCCAGGGGCTTTTTTGAGATAAGTCTCACTATGTGTCCCAGGCTGGCCTCAAACTCACTATGTAGCCCAGGCTGGCCTTGGAGTCCTGGTGATCCTCCTGCCTCAGCCTCCCAAGTGCCTGGATTATAGGTGTGCACCACCATACTTGGCTCGCCTCTAACTTTCTTTTTTTTTTTTTAAAGATGGTTTTAACTAGTTTATGTAAAGTTTTGAATCTGCTTGTCAATTTTTACTACCCAACCAAAGAAAGACTGCAAACTTTAGATTAGGATTGTGTTGAATCTATAGATCAGTTTTGAAAAAATCAATGTTATCCATCCAATTATTTATCTTTACCTTCTTTTAGCAGCATTTCACAATTTTCAGGAGTTATTGTATTTGTAGTATTTTAATTTAATTCTAAATATCCAACGTTTTTAATGGTATTAAACTGCACATTCTTAGAATTTGTTTGCAATTATTTGTCAGTGCAGTATATAGAAAAATGTGATTTAAAAATACTGATGGGATATCTTGCCATCCTTCAGTCTTGTTAAATTCATTTATTGGGTCTAGAAGCTTGCCCTCCTTTTTGGGAAATATTTTTTTGTTTTCTAAGTTACAGTATTTGTAAATAGAGGCTGTTGTCCTTTTCTCTGATCTTGTGCCTTGTATTACAAGGCATACAATCATGCCTTCCCTGACTGTACCGGCGAGCTCCTGCAGTAGCATTGAGTCTCCATGCTGAAGAGAACAGGTGGTAGAAAGCGGATGCTGCGGGCTGCTCTCCCTTGGAGGAAGGACTGGGCATGTCCTGTGGGCACTGAGGGTTAGGGTTAGGTAATCCTAACCTAAGGTTAGGTAATCCATTCCTAGTTTGCTAAGAGTCAGTAAAAGCCTTTTTTTTAAAAAACCATCAATGAATTTTCAATTTTGTTACGAGCTTTCTCTGCATCTATATACTTTCACATGGGTTTTTTTTTCTTTAGTTTGTTAGGGGAAGAGTTGCACTGATTCAGTTTTGAATGATGCATCTGTTTATTCCTAGGTTACGCCCCTTGGGCTTGTGATGTTTTATGCTTTTTGCATATTGGTGTACACTGTTAGACATTATTAAGATTTTTTCCTATGTTTGTGAGCAATGTTGATCTATAAAGCTTTATTAATGTCTTTGTCAGGTTTTTGATAAAAGTTATGCTGATCATTCAAACTAGTTGGGAGAATGTTCTTCAATTTTCTGAAAGAGTTGATGTAAAATGTACATTGTTTTTTTTTCAATATTTGACATAATGACCAATGAAGCTCTCTGCTTGGAATTTTCTTTAAAGGAAGTCTTAATATTAAATGCACTTTGTTTAACACAGTGGTGCTATTCATATTTCCTACTTATTATGTGTAGGTTTTGACAGTTTGTATTCTTGAAGGAAGTTGCATACCCACACACACATCTTCTCTCTCCAAGTCTGTTGCTATTGACTGCTCTTTTCCCCCGCTTCTAGTTAATGGCTACATTTCCTTGACTCTTTGCATGTCTAGTAATTTTTTATTGTATACTAGACACTTTAGAAGAGACGGTATAATCTTTATTTGAAAACTGTCTAATTTTGTTTTGGTTGTCAGTTAAATTACTCTTGGATCCTCTTGATTTTACGAGGCGGTTTGGTGGGACTGTGCAGTTTAGTCATCAGCCTCGATATGTTTCCTGCCGTGGGCTTGATCCTTACTCCCAGAGCGTGGCCTGTCTGGGGTGCTGGTTGAATGTGCACGGTTCTCGGCATGGTTTCTCTGCTGTGACTGCACAGAACCTCACCCTGGCCGGTGTCTCTGTTGACTCTCAGCTTTGTGGCGGCAGTTCTCGGTTAAGCCTCGCAGAGTCTCACCTACGCGCACGCAGGTTATGCTGTCTGAATGTGCGTGGCCTACCCGCATGCAGGCTTCTGGGGCCTACGGGGCAGCTCTTTTTGTCTTGCAGCCGGCAGTTAAGTTGCAGCCTCTGTCTCTCAGCTCTGCCGCTCAGCTCTTCCAGCGTTGGTTCTCGGGCTGCTCCTCCCTAGCAGGACTGCACGGTACCCCTAGGCCGGAAGCTGGAGCAGGTGGGGTTCACCTTCTGCTTCCTTCTGTCAGAGATCACAGGGGTGTTCTGCTCAGGGCCTGCACAGTTGCTTGGTGTATTTTGTTTGATTGTATAGTTATTGAGGTGGACAGTTTGTCTGATATCAGATACTCCCTTGTGACCAGAAACAGAAGTTAAGGAATACTCTTTTGAGGTGGAAATACCTCTAAATTGGGAATTGCTTCCATCAGATCAGCAGAAATCAGAAAAAAACCTAATCTAAATTTAATTTTTTTTTTCTTTTGGTGGTTCTGAGGACTGAACCCAAGGTCTTCATACAGGGCTATATCCCCAGCAGCCTGAACCTTTTTAGAAATTTTGAGACAGAATCTTACTAAGTTACTAAGTTGCCAAGGCTAGGCTCACATTTGCAATCCTCCTGCCTCAGCCTCCCAGAGTGCTGAGCTTACAGGCTTACAAGCCACCATACTTGGCTTAAATATTATTTAAACATTCCTATATTGTTACCTACATGATAAAAATATCAGATCAGATAAGAGGATTGCTCCAGAACAGTGCAGGCATGTAACATATCCCCACAAAGAGTTAGACGTGTATCATTTTGCAGTTTATTTGTCCACAAACCAAAAAAAGATTTAGCAAATGTTTGAGGTAATTTTGTAACTGTGCCTGATTAATTAACTTGATAGCTGATATCACCAAAGTGCAGGTAATATAGGAAAGAGGGCTGATTAATTAACTTGATAGCTGATATCACCAAAGTGCAGGTAATATAGGAAAGAGGGCTGCGTAAAGAGTGGTTCATTTAGGGGCTGGGGATTTAGCTCAGCGGCAAAGCACCTGCCTGGCAAGCGCAAGGTCGTGAGTTCAGTTCCCGGTACCGGAGAAAAACCAAAAAAAAAAAAAAAAAGAGTGGTTCATTTAGCAGTTTTCTGGCTGGGTGGAACGCAGGCTCAGAGAGTAAGGAAGCAGTGGTCCACGTAAGAAGTGACTGTAGGTCGGAAAAGATGGTAGTGGGCTGGATATCATGGCGCATGCCTATAACCCCAGCATTTGGGAGGCTGAGGCAGGAGGACTGCCATGAGTTCAAGGTCAGCCTGAACTACATAGTGAGACCCTGTCTCAAAAAAAAAAAAAAAAAAAAAAAAGAAAAGAAAAGATAGTGGTGGTGGAAATGAAGAGCAGTAGATGAGTATACATTCTGGAAACAGAGCTGGCTGCGGTGTGAGAGGAACTATGGGTGGTATTTGGTTTTGGAACTTATCTGCTGCCGTGTTACCAAGAGATGAAGGAACGGACTGCAGATGCGTAGGGGGAAGAATCAAAATTTCTGTTTGTTAGGTCTGAGATGCAAAGTAGGCAGTCAGATGGAAATGTGACGTGGACGGCTGAGTAATAGTACATCTCTGTGAGGATGATGGACTGCTTTATATGGAATGAAGTGGGCTGTTTTTTATTTGAGTTTTGACATCAAAATCTGAAGTCTATTGACAGTGATTAAAAAAACACCCTCCGGGTGCTGTTGTGAGAACTCTGTCCATGCTTTGAGACTCCCAAGTTTAGTTCATGACTCTAAATTTTAGCCCATTACCCTATCTCTGCGCACTTCCAGCTTCTCGCCCTCACCGTGTGGATGACACCGTGCTCACGGATCCTGCTGAGCACCGAGTGAGGTCACATATGCAAAGTGCCTGTGACGAATAAACACAACGGCAGTTGTAATGTTGAGTACTCCAGGTCCTGGTTAGTTTATCTCTAGAAGCTCTGCAAGTTATTTATTTTTTTACTTACTATGAGGAGATGAGAAGTGAAGGTAGTAGAGTGGGCTAACTTACAATAAGTTCCTGAAAATGAGAATTTAGGAGCCACTGCAGCTGTCTTTAAATGTGGGAACAAAGCTAGGGAAGTATCTGAGGAAAATCTAAAACTTTTTAGGTAAATGCATATAAAATGTGACATGCATGTTATCACACATAGCATATATGAAATAGATGTACTTGCCATTTCAGATATACGATGAACCACTGACCTCTCAATTACTCCCACATGCCCAAGTCCCTGCTTCCATTTGTGTGCATTGCTCATGTAGAATTACCCACTGAGGGTCAGGAGTGATTCTGTATTGCACGTTGAGGCGTATTGATGATATACTGATAATGTATTGATACTGTTTTGTATTGATATTTATTGGCTCACTTACTGTGGGGTTTTTAAATGCCTAATAAAAGGCTAAAAGTCCTATTCATTATTAAATGTTAGAGTCACAGAGTACAAAACCCCTGGATCTTATCTGATCAGCTCGTAAGTACAGTGAGGTCTAGTACTTTTTTTGGCCCATTGCCATGACGTCGATGCTTATGATAGTATTTATTTTGTTTTTTTGTTTTTGGTTTTTCTCCGGTACCGGGAACCGAACTCACGACCTTGCGCTTGCCAGGCAGGCGCTTTGCCGCTGAGCTAAATCCCCAGCCCCAATGCTTATGATGGTATGTGGAGGGTGCAGACCAAGACCTGCCTTCTGCATGAGTGGATCTTTACTCACTGGAATGTGGAGGAGGCACGGAAGCTCATAGAATAGTTATGGTAGGGGGAACTTGTGTGCAAGAGTAGGCGTGGGCGCCCTCTGGTGGCCATAATGTCTTACTGTTTTATGAAAATTGCAATGTGGAAGGTGAGGGCGGCTAAACACAGAATAGTGTGGTATCTTAGGAGAGATTTAATGTGAAGTTGCTGGAAGTGACGCCTGAGTAATCTTCATCAGCTAGGTCGCTGAGCTCAGGCTTCCTAAATTTGAGGGAAGAAGGAGGGAAAGTAAGACATCTACTAGTTTCATTTATTCTGACCACTCAGAAATATGATAAAGAATTCCCAAAATACTTAAGTACTTTGAATGCTCTACATAAAGATAATTTTGTGAATTTACATATTTTCAATTCTGAGTTTCCTTTTGGCTCAGTGCTCTGCATAAAGATCACAAAAATAATATAAGTCAAATGTTGCTATGTTTACTAAGTATAATATACAAAATATGGTATATTACATATTGTTAGAACATATATAGGACATGCTGTTCTATGATATTTCTTAGATAATCGCACAGTTTAGGATGTGCAAGAAAGATTATATGCAATGGTGGAGTTTAAATCCTTTGTAAATTTAAGTGTTCTAATTTGGGATTTCCGGAAGAAGGGAAAGTAATTGTGAGGTCTCATAAAACTAATCTCTGTGGTTGATTCAAAGTGGAATATTTGTATGGGTGTGTGTGAAGGATGTTTCTGAAAATATCAGACTAATATTGGATTGCATGTTTATTTTTTACACGTATTGTAACTAAGACAACTTAGGGTTCTATTTCTTTAGTGTTTGGGTAAGACATCTGCATTATTAAGGGTTTTTTAATTAAGAAAGATGACCTAGAAAATTCTACAGGTTTCTAAATAAAATGATGTTGAACTGTGGATCGTGAACTTATTTATAATTGATTAAATGTGTGCAGATAGGGGCTGGGGATTTAGCTCAGTGGCAAAAGTGCCTGCCTGGCAAGCGCAAGGTCATGAGTTTGGTTCCCGGTACCGGAGAAAACAAAACAAAACAAAACAAAACAAAAACAAACAAACAAAAAAATGTGTGCAGATATAAGCATAGAATAATACTTTCCTCACTAACATGTAGCTTATGTTTCTTATTTTTCAGTTACAGGTCATCTAGTAATCAGAGGAAGTTAGCTTTTTATTTTTCTTCCCCCTGGCCTTAAGCTATTTGAGATTACTGGACATTTCAGAAGTCAATGTAGTTAAAAATTATGATGTTATATCGCTCTTAAATATACAGAATAAATTCTTGCATCTTTTAGGACTAATATTTATGGCTAGAAGGACTGATGGTCTTAATCAGGTAAAGATAACATTTCTCTGAGATAACATTACTCTGACATAGCAATGAAAGATATTTCCTATGGAATTAAAACAACAGCATTTTTTAATTGTTGTTTTCATAGTAGTTATTCAGAGTACAAAATATAGGCATGATATCTTGTCCAGAGAGTACTAGCACACACCTAATAGCATTTTTTTTAACCTGGAAAGAAACTCTTAATTTTTTCCTGATAATTTAGGTAAGAAATTGTCATGGCTTATAAATAACAGAAAATAGAAAGTCCATGTTAAAAAAAAATAGCTGGATACAGTGGCATATTTCTATAGCCCCGGCACTCCTGGAGGCCGAGGCAAGAGGATCGCTTGAGCCCAGGAGGTGGAGATCAGCAGACCCACTTGAGAGGGAGCTGGAAAGGGAGACTGAGTGGAAACCCTAGCAGAGTGCTTCGGTGCCCTTGTGACCTGAGAACACGAAAGCATTGTTGGATGTAGAAAATGACGCTGAGCCCCCAAATGCCGATAGAGATTATCAGTATAAAGTTCCACAGGGACAGGTATTAGGGTTTGGGACTTTTCTTTGAGCCTTTTGTTTAGACCTTTTTCCTCTTGAGGAGGCTGAAGAAAGCTTATCATTTTCTCACTGGGAAAAAAATTCTGTGGACACAGAATAATAGATTTCTAGTGCTCCTTTCTACGGTTGAGGTTAATAGTTAATACTTTAGCGATTAGCTTTCTCATCCCCGGATGTTAAAGATAGTGCTATGATTTCTACTCGTCATTTTGAAGAGGAGATTTGTGTGGTCGGTAGTTAGGGGAAAGGGCATAGGGAGGGTGGCGCATGAGTGGAGGCCAGGGCAGGTTCTGCCCTTCTGGGCCCAGGTTGGTACAGAAACACAGTGTCAGATGTCATGTGAAGGATGAATCAGGTACGTGGTCTGCTGTCTGGGCTGTCTCGCAGTTGCTTTTCCCTGAGGATGTGGCTTGTACTAGGAAATCACAGATCGTGCAGAGACCTTTACCCAGTAATAGATTCAGAACAAGTTCTTCCTTTGCCCGTACTTCCAAATAGCTAGCAGGGTCAGAAGCAAAGCCCCTGAAACGCTCTTCATTGTACAGTCAGTAGAGGGTCCGTGGACATGGCCCTGCGGTTCTAAGCTCTTTCATTAAATGCAGCTCTGGTTGTGGCTGGGTTTGTGTAACTTTTCTTCAGTGGCACAGCAGATAAATTACCTAGTGTCTTTATTCTGACCATCGCAGGAGCTGTCCCTGCTTGATCTTACCTTGTCTGGTCTCAGCTGACAAATAAAACCTTCGCAGTGTGAGAACTATTAAAGTTCGCTGTTAGATTGCAGGTGGAGCATGTGTGCAGGGGTGAATATTGTTTTCTTCATTTACAGGAGAAGCCCCGATATCCAAGCAAAAGAAGAATTGTGGAAGCACATTCAGTGAGTGGTTTGTTTTTTTCCCCCCTCATTGTTTTCAAATCCATGTAGTTTTAATGCAGTTACAAGAAAGCTGTCTGGCATGGGAGGCGGCCTCCGTCTGAAGCGTGCCAGTTCATTGTCATTGCCACCCTGATACGGTATCTGAGGTGCACAGTGGTGGGGCCCACTGACTTCTCCCTGGCTCCCCTGAAAGTGGACTGAAGGCCAGTAGTTTATAAACCAATACCAAGGAAAACACCCTTTGGGGTTTGTTGTTGTTGTTTTTTGTACCAGGAATCGAATTCAGGACCTTGCACTTGCCAGGCAGGCACTTGTGCCACTGAGCTATATCCCTGGTTCCTAACCAAGGAAAACAAGTCCAGAGGGAAAGAGACATCCAGCCCGCTTGCCTTCGGAAAGAGGCAGAGCTGCCATGGGAAGTAAGGGGTGGCAGCAAAGTGTAGGTGGAGAGAAACTGAAAGATAGCAAGTGGTTTTCCTCCCATTTTTTCCTTGAACACATCCTAGTGGTTTCATCTTTGCCCCCAATTTATAGTGTTTTACTGACACAGCATTTGGGGACAAAATTCAAAAGGGGAAACGTCCCTGCTGATTGTGAATGATACTAGTGTGTGTATCAGCATAATGATTTTTACTTTCTTGCCTATTCCCTTCTAGAAAGGAGCTCGTGGATCCATCTGGATTGTCGGAGGAGCAACTGAAAGAGATTCCGTACACTAAAATAGAGTATGTTTTGTTTGTTTTTTGAGACAGGATCTGGTATCTAGTCCAGGCTGGCCTTGACCTTGCTGTGCAGCCCATGCTGGCCCCAAACTTGCGGTCCTCCTGCCTCAGCCACCTGAGTGCTGGGATTACAGGCATTGCCACCATATCCAATTTAGAGTGTGTCTTTGAAAAAACCTTCTCACAACAGTTTTATTTGTGTTTCTAAGGAAGCAATTCATTCTTATTCTTGTGTTCCTTGCTTTGCTCGGTCTGTACATTTTATCTAAAGTTAAAGTGAGTGTACAGAAAAGGTAGAAAAGGACAGAATAAAGTTGTCTCACTCTGTACTCACATCACTGTCATTTCCTTTGTGGTAGGTATGAGATGGCTTTTCATAATTTTCTTTTTCTTTTCTTTTTTTTTCTTTCTTCTTTTTCTTTCCTTTCTCAATCCCTTACATTTATTTCCAATTTCTTGTAACATCCATTTTAAAATGAATTCTTTTTCTGAGATATTCATTGATTGGTAACAAAGTTTGTGTGTGTGTGTGTCTTTTGAGACAAGGTCTCACTATGCAGTTCAGGCTGGATTTGAGCTCATTTTGTAGCCCACGCTGGTCTCAAACTTGCAACAATCCTCCTGCCTCAGCTTCCTGAGTGCTAGGATTACAGGCGTGTGCCATCATGCCCAGCACAAAGTTTATTTTTATTCTTTTTTTTTTTTTTTTATCATCCAGAGAATGTTTATGCCAGAGCCCTATCACATAAGTCCGGGACAGTTCTTGTCATAGAAATACCACATTGAACCGAACAGGTTCCATAGAAGCATAACAGGACCCCCATCATAAGCTGTGCAGGCCACAGTGGCCGTTTTCTCTCTCACTGTCATTAGTTGAAAACCAGAGCTTTCTGCAACCTATGTTTCTTTCCCACATAGAAAAACTATAGCTTGGTATCCACCATCTTCAGAAAACGAATGAATTTTTAAGGTATAATTATACATATTTATGGTATGTAACACGACACTGTATTATATTTGCATTGGGAAATAATGAAGCCAGTTCACATATCTACTGCTTCACAGATCTTTGTGTGTGTGTGTGTGTGTGTGTGTGTGTGTGTGTGTAGTGAGAATGTTTAAGATCTGTCTCTAGTTTTCTAGTGAAGACAGAATTCTGAGCGATAGTCTTGGCCAGGACAATGATTAACTTCTGGCGAGAATACCATTTCGTCTGTGTTGTAGATTTTTCTTCCACACTGCTGGAGGTTATTCAAATGCAAGGCATAATTTCATTTAAAGCTTGGTGGCTAAAAAATAAACATACTCACACCCATACATGCAGACCATAGAAGAGCTCCATTTATTTACATGTATAGTCAAGGGAGCATTTTTCTGTTAACATGTGACATTTAAGTCGCTCAAGCTTTGAGGTTCTTTTCAAAATCAAGTTCTTTTGAAAACCAGTCTGAAAGTCATTATTATTATTATTATTATTATGTTTGCTCTTTCAATATTAAGGAAAAAGTCCAAGTTCTGTTGTGATTTTTGGTGTGTCCGTTTCCATTTTGTTTGTGGTTTCTTGTTCAGGACTCAGGGTGACCCAGTCCGCATCAGGCATTCGCATTCGCCACGAAGTTATCGCCAGTATCGCAGGTCGCAGTGTTCAGATGGAGAGAGATCTGTTCTTTCGGAAGTAAAGTAAGTAGGCGGCCCAAGCATGGCACCAGGCTCAGGCTTCAGAGCAGGATGGGCAACAGAGCTCTCGGCCATGATGGAAAAGTTCCCTCTACCCCATGCCCTCTTTGAACTTAAGTTCTGACTCTAGGTCCCACACTGTCCCATTCATTAACTCTGGACTTCGCTCTCCGCAGTTCAAAAACAGATCTTGTACCACCACTTCCAGTGACCCGTTCTTCGGACGCTCAAGGTTCTGGTGGCTCTACAGTTCATCAGGTCAGTGAGAATAAAGTTTTAAGAGGGTGGCGTACTGGTGCCAATTTTGAGAAGCATTTTGTGCTTTGGGGAGTTCCTTTGATGACTGACTTCATGCTGAGATTCTGTATATTAAAAGAACATACACAGGGCCGGAGATATAGCTCAAGTGTGCAGCGCCTGCCTGGCAAGTGCGAGGTCCTGAGTTCAATTCTCAGCACCAAAAACACAAAAACAACAAAACATAGGAAAAGGCAGCAGGAGACTATGACCAAGAATGAAGGCACAGCCAGCTAATAGAAAACAGCTGCTGGAGTCCTATTTCACTTCTGGCCTCCCCATCAGAGACTTGAGACTTGCCTTTATCCTGGAGGCGTTTTACAGATGTGGTTAAAGGGAGTTGAAAGTCATAGTAGAGTACCTACCTGCCTGAGATCAAGTTAACCGTGAGCCGAAGCAGATGGTTCTGTCAGGGAAGCACAGTCACGAATGTATGTCTGAAGCCTTTGACGTCATCTCTCATGATCTATGTTGAAATTAAATGGAAAGAATGTGGGCTGGACAGACAGTGGGGTGGACTTGCTATGGGGTTAAACACCCGTTCCAAAAACAAAGTTGATGTTTATGATGGATCAGTGTCAACTACTGTTTGCAACTTTGTGGTTTTTATTCTTGTTTGGATCACAGATCCCTCAGAAACCCCAACTATAACCGCCGTCTCTCTCCATAACAGTGTGTGTAAACACATACAGCTTTGCATATACACTCAGGCAGTTCAGGGACCCCTGGTGATACCCATCACATGCTGCCTTTCATTTGCCCGGTTCACTTTTTGTTTTTTGATGACTTCAGCAAGGACCAAAACGACTTCAGCAAAGTTAGTCAAGGTTGTGTGGAAACAAATTCTGAGATGGTGCTCTGTGTGTGGGAGGTGTACGGAAGGTATCTTTGGGACTGACGCTTGGGAGAACAAAAGGACAGGTTTGGGCAGAGGCAAGCGTGTAACCGGGTGAAGGCGGTTACCCTGTGGGAAACTCTGGAGCTGAGGTGCCCTTCACAGTCCACCTTGGGCCGGGGCCTTGGTGCGCTCACTCACAGCCACCGTGTGGCAGTCATCAGATGGGTGGCGCTCCTGCAAGGGCATGACCTTGGGTGAGGTGACTTTCTTCAGCCAAGGGCGGTTCTGGGGTAGCGGCTTAGAGTTCAGCCATGGGGCAGGCAATGAGGAATGAGTACAAGGCCAACTGAAAGCACATAGCAAGACTTTCTCAAAAAACCAAAAAAAAAAGGCATGACAAATGAGTACTGTTAGCTTTCAACACTTGTCTTACATTGGTTTCAGTCTACAGTACATTAACTTTATTTTACTACATTTTTGTTTTTCTAACTGCTGTAGACCCCTGACTAATTATCAGCAAGGTATTTCACAAACATTTATATACAAGTAGCTGTCAGCTCGGCGCCTTCACAGGCGGCCGTGGACCGTACGCAGGTCCTGCCTGTGGCGTCCTGTTCAGCCTCTGGTAACAGCTGGTGTTTCCACGATGCAGCGCAGACTGCAAATCCTGAGTCCCCACCTGACAGGCTGCCCCAGCGCGTGACAAGCGCCCCTAAAGCACTGTGCTGCACGAAGGTAGTTTTGTTCACTGGCTGCACCAAACGGATCATAAACTCTCCACTCTCCTCTCCCTTCTCTGCTCGGGAAGTAGACTGAAAGTCTTGTTTAGGAATTATGCCCAGTGCCTAATTTTCAGGAGTAAAATACTTACACACATAATTGTTAGACTGACTTTACATACTTAGGGTTAAGTGTGTGATCCTTATTGTTTATCTTGCATGTTAGATATTGAGGGAATGTATGTCAAGCAGCTTTTGAAATTTTTTGGAATTACAATGTGATGTCTTAAAAAGCCTAGTAGTTTCTAATGTACTTTAGAAACTGGATTGACTATTTTGTTTTTCAACTGTGTGTATTTTCTTTCAGAGAAGAAATGGGTCTAAAGATAGCCTGATTGAAGAAAAGTCTCAGATATCTGCAAACAGTCTGGCTGGAAAGCACACAGCAAAAACAGTAAAAACGGTCCACGCTGCACGCCTCAAGTTAGAGACTTGATCCTGGTGAAAGCCGGGGATGGGAGTGGGAAGGGCGCTTGTGCTGCTGGTACTTCTGAAACTGTGAAGGAGACAAGTATTCAAGTGTCTTGGACCTGCCAATTGCTTCTTCAGCCTATGAAACGCACCTTCTGAAGATCTGACTACTGCATACTCGTGCTGGAGGGCCTTTGACTGGAAGGATAGTGCTCTTGTAAAAGTTACCTTGACACCACCTCTTCCTCAGACTGGTAGCAGCCAGCTCCAAGTATCTTGTGTCTGCCTCCCCCACAAGCAAGACCAGATGCTTCTGGTGGATGTTCTGCAATTCTGGACAGCAGTGGACTGACTCGCTGTGCAGTGGCGGGAAGAAAGCCGCCCTCCCAGCTCCAGGGGCTTCAGCCAGTGCTGAGGTGGCCGAGGACTGACCTGTCACTCTCACATGGCAGACACCTGTATTCATAAGTTCTTGTAGTATTGTAATTTGTGGCATCGAGTTTCACTGGTATTTACAAACGTAAAAAGCTTCAAGTGTGGCTTTTAATTTGAAAGTGTCCTTGTCTTGTGTTTTCTGAAGGAGAGAAAAAGCTAAAGTGTGGATTTCATCCCCCCACCCTGCCTGGCCACCTAACTCGCCTGCTCTCCTGGACCTTTGCCCTCCAGATACCTTTTCAATCTGCAGGGAAAATATAAGTATTTACGCAGGGCATCTTTATCTTTCCTTACCAGTCCTCTCCAGGTACCCTCAACCCCAACGCTCTGCCGGGCCCTTTCCACCTGTGCTCTGGATATCCCCTTGTCTCCCTCAGGAGCCCTTTATCTTGTAGAATGTACTCAGCTGCTTCCTTTCACTAGTTACTATTACCATCTATTAAACCTGTGACTGCCGCTACCAATCCAACTTCCACAGCCACAAATCCTTGTCTAAGGGTTTGTTCTCAGCTAAATTTCTCACTTCTTACACAGTCTTCAAAGTCCATTTTATGCCCATTAAAGTCTCCTTCTCTTCCTTCACTCTTTTAAAGCAAACCCATTTTGCTCTACTACTGTGACCATCGTTAACTACCTTTCTTTCCCCTATTGGGTTTTTTCCCAATCCTTACACCTAGGTTTATACCTAACAGCTTCCAGGCTTACTTTTGTAGCTGACTAGAGCAGTGTTGAGTCCACCTGGACTTTTCAAAGGTTTCAACTGGTTCAGACCCTGCCCATCAGCCGAGCTGAGAGCCACTAAGCTTGTCCCCATACAGCCTATCACTATGGACACCTGCAGTATCACCGAGTCCGCTGGCTTTGCTTTCCTTTCTCCATCACTCAAGCTAGTCTTGCTTAGACCCAGCTGTGGCGGTCCCTTCACTGGCCTGCCTGCTGAATAAACCCAAGCCTTAACCGGTCTGGCCTCTACCTACCTCTTCAGCTCACTTGGTGACACCCCTAGCTCTCCCAACAGCCATCTAAAAATGCCTCACGGAGAGCACACAAATCTCTAACCCAGGGCACTGATGGGGGGAGAAGAGCCAAAGCTGTCCAAAAGACAGTTACCTTTTCCCTACCGAGGTCTGTGCATGTCATCCTCAGCTTTGCCTTGCAAAGATGGCACCCACCTCGTGAACTCTGCTTTCTCAGGTTCTCCTCACTAGGGCAAATCCTACCGCAAGGCTCATTTGTGATTTCTATTTCTGCTATTCAGCTGTAAGCTCCCAGCGGGAGAACTGTGTTCTGCTTGTCGTGTGTGCAGCTTCTAGTGCAGTGCTTTCAATAAACTTTTCTGAATGCCTCAAGACACTATCCATTCTTTTCTACTAATTAACGAGGCCAATCTTTAGTGTACAAATCTAGTTTTAAAGAACTATGCAATGAGGAATAAATAATTACCAGTGACCCAAAAATCGGCTGGTCTAGCTACCGTGTATCATCTACAGGAATAAAGTACTGAAAAAAACCACAAACCTCAAAGAAGCACATCAAAATATTTATTTATAGCTTATCTTAAAAATTACATGCATGGATTGCCCACAGGCCATTTCAACACTCCTGACTCCTGTAAATTTTAAATGATCAAAGCGAATGGACGGTTATATTTTCAAAATGTTCGACAACCTAAAAAAAAAAAATTGTGTTTCATCTTAATCGAAAGCTTAGCAGTAAGCCCAATTACACGCCTCAGTACTGTTAAAGTTACACCATTTCGGGATTCAGCCGACACACCACATGCCTGAGTTGGAGAAATTTTTAGATATAAACTACTACAAACAGAAACGTAATGAATTTGTAGAGATCTAAAATGCCAGTAGTGTGTTGTGTATATTTACTCTTCTCAGTATTACTTACTCAGAAAGATCGGCAAAACCTCCACGTAACACACTACCCTATTTGCTAACGTCACCTTTTAAAATACAGAGCGGTACCAAAGCTAACGACGTCCCAACACTGCAGAAGACGCTCCGATTTGAAGTACAAAATCCCGCACTCCAGCGTCACCGTGTGTGCTCCCGGTGGCAGTACGCCGACAGCAGCTGGCTTCAAGCGCCCGTCTTCCACCTGAACAGAACGTAGCGGAGGCTGGTTAGGAAAACACACTCCTCTAACGTCGGCCGAGTTACCGCGAACGCGCACGGGACGCACAGGACGAGCTGTCACTTCTGCAGCTCCTACACCAAATACACCACATATAAGGGCAGGAAAAAGCTGCAGAGCATTGCTTTATGCCTTTCTTGACACCACGTTCACTAGTTTCCAAAGTGAACGGGCAACACAAAGGCTAAGGTGCGAGCCACCCAGGTTGGGCCCGCTGGGATCGATGCTCCGGTTACAGCCTGAACAATGAGCTCGAACCCCAGCTCCCCCCTCCCGGGGTTCAAAGCCCAGGTCAGCAAGGGAAAGCGCAGCCCAGGCGTCACCGTCCGCCCCGACGCC